GGTATTTCTTAGTAGTATCCATCTTGGTAACTCTGATGCAAAATCCTTGACTATCTTAGTGTTATGGGACTGGGCTGCAAATTTAGAGTAATTCCTTGGCAAAAAAAAAAAAAAGGCACTAAAGTTCGCTGGCTATATATTAGGTATTAGAGATGAAATAGTAGATAACAAAAATTCTATAGACCTGATTTGCAGGACTGGCTATGCCATGAAGGAAAGAAAGAAAATAAAAGAAAGAGCAAAAGAAGGAAATAATCATAAAGTACCTATACTCTGGCAATTTCAACTTTTAAAAAAATCTCATTAAATATCTTTTAACCTTGGAAAAGTTGTTTGACCTCTTTTTGACCCAATAGTCTTAATTATAAAATGAAGGGGTTACAGTATATCATTTATGCATATGTGTGTGTGTGGGGTGGGGTGGGTGTGTGTGTGTGTGTGTGTGTGTGTATCCAAATCATTTATCCACAGATATCCACATGGCTCATTCCCTTGCCTGCTTCAAGTATCTGGTCAAATGTGAACTTTCAGTGAGCCCTACCCTCACAACCATAATTAATTATCACCCCACAGTTCAATAAGTCTCTGTACATTTTTTTCCTTTCTTCTCTTTTTGCTTCATTTTGGCATGTTTCTATCACTATGTCTTCAATCACTGTGTCTGCATTAAACTCTTTTTCTTGCAATGTCTATTACTCTACATCTAATTCCATTGAATTTTTATTTCAGATATTTTATTTTTCATCTCTAGAGTTGGGTTTGGCTCTTTTATATATTTTCCATTTCTCTCCTCAATGTGTCCAACTTCTTGTAAATACTTGAACATAGTTATGATATCTGTTTTAGCCCCATTGTTGTTGCTACCAGGGGCTCTTTTTCTGCATAGCTTCCTCTATCTCTGGAATTTTATTTATCTCTGCCTCCTAAACTTTAGTTCCTGTCTCTATATTTAATATACCTGCTAATTCTATCATCTGTGTCATTTCACAGCCTATTTCTATTGGCTAGTTTTTCTCCTGGTCATAGTTTCTCACTTCTTTGCACATCTGGTAGTTTTTGATTGAATGTCTGGCAGTGTTATATTTAAGTTGTATGTCTTGAACTTACTGTATTCCTTTTAATGATGTTGGGCTATAATAGTACTGTACTCCTTTTAATAGTAACAGTTACTTGCTATTTTGTTTCCTTCAGAGGCTGATTTACAAGCTTGCTTAAGGTGAGTCTAGGGTAGCTTTTATAGAGTTTAGCCCACTTTTGAGGCATAGTCCTTCTGGTCTCTACTGAATATCCTAAATAACCATTGAGAATTATATACGATGGACAATAGGAACTTAATGCCTTCCAGCCCTGTGTAAGAGTGGGAATCATTAAGATCACAACTCCTAGGTTATTCTTTGCCAAACCCTGGGAGGTTTCATCTCATGCATTCATGTCTTGTTATTCAGCAAATTCTCAAGAACTCTACTGTCGCTAACAGAAGCTCTTTTTCTGAAGAGCTTCCTCCATCTCTGGAATTTTATTTCTCTCTGCCTCCCTAAACTTCAGTTCCTGTCTCTATAACTCAGAAAGACTGATGAGCTCAGTTTGAGATGTCCTATCCTGCTCTGTATTCTGAAATGTGCCTTGAGACAGAAATCTAGGGAAATCCTAGCACTCACCTTTGTTTCCTTGCTATGAGGAATCACACTGCTGCACTGACTGCTGTCCAATGTCCAGAAACTGGGGGATTTTCCCCATATATTTTGACCAGTTAGTAGTTTACAGTAGGAATATAAATCTAAACGCTGTTACTCTATCATGGCCAGAAGCTAAAAGTTCTATCCTTTGAATTCACAGCATTATCTATTAAATCCACATCATTATCACATGTCATTTATTATCTTAGCAATATTCAAGGAGTCTAAAACTTAAAAGACTTCTATTAAACTCTGTACTTATTATGTTGACTTGAGAAGTAATATATAAACATATAAGATAAAAATGGTTTATATCTTTTAGAGAAGTATCATTTATGGAGTATTCTGCTTTTTAAGTTTTCATCTCCATTACAGACATTTTCATCAAGAATTCCAAATTAAGGTTTATAAATTTCAAAACCTACGGTAAACAGATGTCATAGCTTTTAGGGGTTTCATTGTTTTGAAGGATATACAGATTCTCTGGAAGATTATTTACAATGCTGTGATAATAAATTATCTTCATGTGGAACAGTAAGTTTTTATTCTGGCTTAGTATGCCCTTACGTGACTATATCATTAAAATAGTGGCATTCTGCTGTCAACGCATTTCCAGCCAGCAAGCACATGTCCCCCTGCAGCCAGCCACTTAGCATTGACTAACTGAATTTGAAAGAGGAAAAGATCGGCTTCTTACTGAAAAATTGAAAAGCAAAATCAAACCAAGTGCAATATCAGCAGGTCTTAGTATTTCTGTGTCAAAACCACTATATAACTTGTTGAGGATGAACTTAAAATCAATATTGGATCATAGGCTGCGATGATAAAAAATTTTAAAATAATTTTAATAGAGCTTAGGCATAAACAACACTAACATTTCTCCACTGTAACATGCAGTTAAAAAATAAAATGTGCATTTTACAACAATGTGATTATACCTAATGCTACTGATTTATATCTATTGCTAGTGAAAATGGCTAAGATGGTTAAAAAAAAAATAAAACCAACAACCAAAAAAGGTAGGCAGATGTGCAAAAAACTATGACTACCTTAACAAACTCATTACAATTCATGATGTAATATAAATAATAATTAAAACAGTGATAACTACATTTAGATGTATGTATACATTCTAAGAAATCATAAAATCTATTTTTAATCTAAAAAAGAAGACTGCATCCTTTTTAGACTGTATCCCTTAAAAATAGTGTTAAAATGTAATTCTAAGTAAAGAAAATGTTTAGCACAGAGTATTCTCAAGAAAAGGGAGTACCACTGCCAAGTTCACCAGAGAATTTAAAAATAGTGGGCACCCAAGGGGGAAGAAACAGAATTCATAAACAATAAATGTTACACCCTCAAGGTCTTTTACCTTCTATAAATGCTCACAGTCACCAAGCAGGGCAATCACAAGCATTAGCTGGATGTCTATTAATTTTTATGAAAGCTTAAATAAGAATATGTATTTGGTGAAATACACATGTCCTTATCTGTAAGAAGACTACCTGTAGGATATCTGAGAGGTCTAAAGGTGGGAGAGCGCCAAAGACAGAATACACAATTATCCTTTATTCTAAAGGAAAGAACCACAGTTCATATTAATAATTTAAAATAAAAAACAATGTGTTATGTTTTCATAGTTTATAAAGTAATAATTGATGAGAAATTATGTTTTCAGGTTTTGTTATTTATTTTCCCTCACTAAAAATTATGAATTTCTTATAAAAACATAAAGTATAATAAAGCAAAATAATTCTCAGATCAACTGATATTATTTATAAATTGATAAGTGATATGGTATGAGTTTACATATAAACTTTTCCAAGCATATGCAGATGCATTTTAAAATCTGTAATCACATATTCTATATAGTTTTATATCATCTATTTTCATTTACATTATAAGCATTTTCTGTCACTATTAATTATCCTTAACCATTATTTTAAATATGTGGTTTATATGCATGTAAGGTAATTCTTACCATTTATTTTCACTAATAGGCATTTCTTAACTAAAAAGTTATGTTTAAAAATCTTTATGTAAATTACCAGCTCAATTATAACCTTTATGTAAAACCTAAAGTATTAAACTTAACATGGCATTTAGAGGAAAGAATATTTAATTTTATAATCAAAACTCAAATTATATAATCTTTTTGTGATACAAAATGAGGCAGAGGAATTTTTGTCAATTGATAAAATCTCAACAAAGTAAAAGGTTTGTGGTTATGCACAGGCAGAAGTCTAATGATTCCACAAAATAAACATAATTGATGTCATATTTAGGAAAAATAATAAAGCACAAAATAATACTTATGTATAAAATATGACGAAAATTTATTTCAGCATTTTGGTTGTTAAATATGATTTAAAATACAACAAATGCTAATTTGAATTGCCTCATATATATGATCGTATTTTAAATTCTTTCAGTGTAGGGATCATCTTATTAATATTTCTGCCTTCAATTGCACTTAAAACAGTCTTGCCCATAAAAGCCTTGATAAGTGGTTCTGACTTACTGAAACTATAAAACCTCTTTCAATATGGTTGGGAATATCTGAGTTGTAAGAAATAAAGCTGAAGAAAAGATATAAAATTATCCAAAGAAAAGTGGCCAATTATCATAAAAACTAGAGGTTAAGGAGGAAAAAAAAAATCACAAAATAAAATCATAAGTTCTTTTATTATATATTGCCAAATTATATATGTAAAATTCTTTTTTATTACACAAAAGAAAATAAATTAATTTTATAGAAGAATAGTTACACTTTATATTTGCACAGATGATCTAGCTGGGAGTATGAGAGAAAGGGGAGGAAAGATGATTAAGATGTACTGTGGTTTTCAGGAATTCACTTAAAGAAGGAACATACCATTGAGAGACAATTCTCTATGAGTAGAGGTAGTGAGTGTCTTTGTTCCCTACTGTGTTTTTAAGGATGTTTGCATAGTGAATAGCCTCAAAAGGCAGAAATATGATCCTGCGTCTGAGCAAAAGGCAAGTTTCCTTACACCCTCGCAAAGGAGATATAGTGCCTCCCTCTGGTTAAAAGGGCAGGGATGCTTTCTATCCATTATAAAAGGTTCAGGTTCCCTAAATTCAGAATTCCTCACACTCTTCATGCCATCTACGGAGAACTGAGCTCAGGGCACTAACACAAGAAAATGCTAATACTGTGACTAATGCTGTGGATAATAAAGTTCTTTGTCTTGACCTGAGGAGTTTCATGTCTTTGGCCAGCATCCATGAAATTGTGGATGCTAACTTAATAGCTTCAAAGTGGAGTAAAATCATAATCCCGTTACAGTATTTGACACGTACCTGTTACTGTTTTTGTTTTTATAGGGCTGCTGGCATATTCAGAGGCCTGATATGACTGTTGCTTTGCCAAGGGTGCACTTCCAATAGACACCTCATCCTCTTTCCTTCTACAAACTGGCATAACAAGAGGAACAGCTACCACAGGTTGCTGGAAAGAGCCAAAATGAAAAACTGAATTAGTCACTATTTCTTAAGCAGCAAAGGTTAAACAGGGCAATACTGAGGACAGTCCTTCAGAAGTTGGGGCTGAGACTTCATTATTTTAAAACAATCAATCTCTCCCTCTCTCCAGTCATCTCTCCCCGCACCCCACCCTTTAAATTTCTCTCTCTCACGCACGCGCGCGCGCACACACACACACACACACACACACACACACACACACAGAGCAACGCTTATCCACTTAAATTTTAAATTAAAATTCTAAGTAAAAACCAAAGAGCCTGTAAGTACCCAGAAACCATTTTAGTAAGAAGTATTAAACTAATATGGAAAGAGCAAGTTAAAATTAAAATTCACTTTGAAAATTATGATTTCAAAAAATGGAAAAGAATGCTTATAAAGTTATCCTTATAAAATATTTTTAGAAACATACTTTTACAAACTGATTATGTACATGTTAATATGAATAGTCCAACTTTTTTGAAGAATACTGAAAATCTCTGTATTTTATCTCACAAAAGATATCCATAGCATATTCAGAAGGCACAGAAAAATATATAGTTAGAGAAAAATTGCTGAAAAATATTATGATCCTCTGTTGAATGCATGAGAGCTGAGCTGGACAATAAAGCAGCTGTTTCATCTTTATTCACTGAAATAAAGTCTGATGTTACTGCTGATGATGCCCAATACAACTCTGTCATATTATTGGCAAAAAAAAAAAAAAAAAAAAAAGGCACTTTTAAGTTTGCCATAGGATCAAAGATCAGTGCTGAAGTGGTTAGAAAACAATCACCAAATGTTGGGCTTTAGCCACAATTTGAGAAGGAAACTGTAGCTTGGGAAATAACAGATGATAATGTAACACAGCTGTATCAGATGGTGAATCTGGTGGCAGTTGGTCAGGCTGCAGTGTATTCTAATGTTATCTTCAATACTCCAACCAAAGTTTTATAGATCCAACCTTAAGCCTCACCTAACTTACAATACTCAATATAATTTACATTATGAAAAAGTATTTCAATGAAAACATGTTTATTATATGGCTATATAATAAAATCATGTTCTGACATGGAAAAGGGCATATTATTTTACAAGTTGCTAGTCAGGCTGAGTTAATAAAAGGAGAAGAAATTCAAAAATGGGAGAAGGAAAAGATTAAATAAATTGTCAGAAGCATTACAACATAGAGAGTACCTGCTTTTATATCCAGTATTTAGTCAAACTGATAATATACAAATCTGAATTGGAAATCATTTTTAAGGCCTAGATGAGAAATGCTCCACATGCTGTTAAGCTTTGATGCATTTTACTTTCTTCATCTAAAAATTAATGAGGGGTAGAGATATTTACCGGAAAACCTCTTTATGCTCTAATATTTAGTGACTCCATAATCCCTTGAATTTCTGTCCATTTATATACCTGGAATACAATCCAAACTCTAAAAACTTAGAACCAAGTTCAGGATTAAAATTAATATACAGCTGTCCCTTGAACAACATAAGTTTGAACCCCATGAGTTCACTTACATGTGGATTTTCTTCCACATCTGCCAATTCTGAGACAGCAAGACAAACCCCTCCTCTTCCTCCTCCTCAGCCTACTATTCAACATGAAGACCTTCAGGAATAATCTACTTTCATCCTATATTGTATTTTCTCTTTCTTGTGACTTTCTTAATAACATTTTCTTTTCTCCAGTTTATTGTAGGAATATCATATATAACACATATAATATATACAATAGATGTTCATTAACTATTTGTTATTGTTAAGGCTTCTGATCAACAGTAGGCTATTATTTAACTTTGGAGGGAGTCAAAAGTTATACACAAGTTTTTGACCAAGCTGCGAGCTGGTGTCCCTAGCCTTGGTGTTGTTCTAGGGTCGACTATATAATAAGTAGAGAAAATTCACGTGCAATACAGTGTGAATTCAATCTGAATTCAAGCATAATAGCTGAAAGATGCAACTAATGAAAGCACAAAGTTTTACAGATCCAATAAATTTTCATAGTACTGGCAATACTAAACAACAAAAAACAAAAAAACCTTTGGATAGCTAAAACTCTGGGTGTATTTTCTTTTCTTTCTTTTTTTTTTTAAGATGGTATCTCACTCTGTCACCCAGACTAGAGTGCAGTGACGTGGTCTTGGCCCACTGCAACTTCCGTGCTCTCCCCCAAGGTTCAAGAGATTCTCCTGCCTCAGCCTCCCAAGTAGCTAGGATTACAGGCACTTGCCTCCACACATGGCTAATTTTTGTATTTTTAGTAGAGATGGTGTTTCACCATCTTGGCCAGGCCGGTCTTGAACTCCTGACTTTGTGGTCTACCTGCCTTGTCCTCCCAAAGTGGTGGCATTATAGGCATGAGCCACTGTGCCCAGCCAAGTCTGGGTGTATTTTCACACAGCCAAGAATTAAAAGGCCAAGGCCTAGCAAAACCACTTTCTAACACAAGAGTAAGGCTCTTGTATGCCTTATACACACCTGTATACAAAGTACCTATATTTGTTGAATGACAGCTAATAAAGGTGCTGCATATCAGGCATTAAGTGATACCAGAGAAGAAGTAAGACCAGTAATTTCATCCACTATTCTAGAATATGACTACCTTTGTCAAAAACATCAAAATAAGCAGTATTTATTTATTATTTATTTGTTTGTTTATTTCTGAGACAGACTCTTGCTCTATCGCACAGGCTGGAGTGCAGTGGCGTGATCTTGGCTCACTGCAACCTCCACCTCCCAGGTTCAAGTGATTCTCCTGCCTCAGCCTCCCGAGTAGCTGGGACTACAGGTGTCTGCCACCACACCCCGCTAATTTTTGTATTTTTAGTAGAGATGGGTTTCACCATATTGGCCAGGCTGGTCTTGAACTCCTGACCTTGTGATCCACCCACCTGAGCCTTCCAAAGTGCTAGAATTACAAGTGTGAGTCACCGTGCCTGGCCCAGGAGTATTTATTTTTAACAACCTCCTATTATCCTGCTTATATTCTTTTTCCTTCTGGTACTGCAGCTCTCCTAAAATTTCAGTTGCACTCTAGCCCCATATCAGTTCTACCTTAAGCCTAAAAATGTCCCATAATCCCAAAATACCTAAAGCTTTTCATAGCTGCATCCTATAAAAGGTAACCATCTTAAATTAATTACAAATAAAAAAAACTAAAGGATTACAAAGAATACAAAATATCAATTATAACCAATAATTAACGGCTATTAACAATTTATCATATTTACTTTTTTAAATTACTATTATAGATAATACTAAAATCCCCTTTGACTACCAACCTACTGCCCTTTCCTCCCAGAGTCAACCATTATTGTGATATTAGTAAAAATCCTCAACTTAATTTTTATGCCTTTCACTTACAGACACACATACACATACATATTAAGGGTAGCTTTAGAAAAAAATATATAAGTGCTCTCAGATTGCATACATCCTTGGGAAACTGCCTTTGCATCAAATATAATTTTGAGACATCCATACTAAGGTCTATTGCATAATTTTTAATAAATGTTATATCGTGAATATTTCATACTTTATCAACCTTATTACAAATTTTCGTTTAGGTTTTGAAATTTTCACATTATTGTAATGAATGTGCAACAGCAGTCTTACACAGTATTCCTTAGTTATATGAATTTCACTGTAAGAGCATACCTACATCAAGAAGTAGAAGTTTGGTGTTATAAATTCTGCTCATTTTCAACTTTACCTAGATACTGACGAATTTACCAAATTTTCACTTACAACAGTAGTAATCATTCTCTACGTTTTCACCAATACTGTATATCAGCATTTTTTTCAACTAATAAATTTTAAAAGTAAAGATGAGTGGTCATGACTTGATAATTATTGAACCTGGGTATGGAAACAAATGATTTGACTATGCAATTCTCTCAATTTTCCATGGTGAAGTTGTTGGGGGGAACTTAAAGACTGAAATAGTAGATTGAGGACGCTTTTAAAAGTGTATTTTTGAGTACACCAAATTGTAGTAAAATAGTAATGCTATCAATTGCTGTTTAAAATATAAACTGGCCTAAACATGCTTATATTATAGGAATGAATATATCATGCCTATAATCTCAGCACTTTGGGAGGCTAAAGTAGGTGGATCACTTGAGCCTAGGAGTTTCAGACCAGCCTGGGCAATACCGTGAGACACCATCTCTAAAAAAAAATTTTTTTTTAAATTAACCAGGCATGGTAGCATGTGCCTGTGGTCCCCGCTACTCGGGAGGCTTAGAAAAGAGGATTGCTGGAGCCCACAAAGTCATGACTACAGTGACCTGCGATCATAGCACTGTACTGGAGACTGAGCCACAAACCAAGACTCTGTATGAAAAAAAAAAAAAAAAAAAGATAATGCAAACTGTATACCAGTTCTGGAAGCAATTTGGTGATATAACAAAAATCTTAAAATATATTTCTAAAATGCAAAATACTTGCCTAGTGCTACTAATTACACTTGTAAAAATATATTCTAAGTGAATAAAGATGAATGCAAAGATTTAGCTATGGAGACATATACTCCAACATTTTTTGTAACTCTGAATGAGTGGAGTTATGGTATTTGTTAATTTATCTTTTATTTTTATTATTTTTAGGGATGGGGTCTCACCCTGTTGCCCAGGCTGCAAGTACAGTGGCATGATCACTGTTCACTGCAGCCTCCACCTCCCAGGCAGAAACAATCCTCCTACTTCCATCTCCAGTGTAGCTGGGACTACAGGCCTGCACCACCATGCAGAGCTAATTTTTATTTTCTGTAAAGAAAGAGTCTCGCTTTGTTGCCCAGGCTAGTCTTGAACTCTTGGGCTCAAGTAATTCTCCCACCTTGCCTCCCAAAGTATCAGTATTAGGAGTAGTTTAGTTTCTAAATAAAGCCATTATTTCTGAATTAGAAAAATATACATATAATTATGTACCACACAACAATGTTTCAGTCAACAATGGACTGCATATATAATGGTGGTTCTATAAGATTACAATGGCATATTTTTACTATACCTTTTC